GGTTGGCCAGCTGTCTTTGTGATCAATAAATATGTGTGGAAGGTTGGCCAGCCGTCTTTGTGATTAATAAATATGTGTGGAGGGTTGGCCAGCTGTCTTTGTGATCAATAAATATGTGTGGAAGGTTGGCCAGCTGTCTTTGTGATTAATAAATATGTGTGGAAAGTTGGCCAGCTGTCTTTGTGATCAATAAATGTGTGATGAAGGTTGGCTAGCTGTTTTTGTGATTAATAAATATGTGTGGAAGGTTGGCCAGCTGTCTTTGTGATTAATAAATATGTGTGGAAAGTTGGCCAGCTGTCTTTGTGATTAATAAATATGTGTGGAAAGTTGGCCAGCTGTCTTTGTGATTAATAAATAAGTGTGGAAAGTTGGCCAGCTGTCTTTGTGATTAATAAATATGTGTGGAAGGTTCGCCAGCTGTCTTTTTGATCAATAAATATGTGTGGAGGATTGGCCAGCTGTCTTTGTGATCAATAAATATGTGTGGAATGTTGGCCAGCTGTAAACCCAACCATTGAGGCGTAAACCCAACCATTCAAGAGTCGAAGCAAGACCACATTCGATGGACGAAATCAGCAATATTTAATGGTTGGGTGGCGGGCAATTGAAAATGGACATGCAGGAAACGAAGTGGCTATTCGTACCCGGGTACCAGAAGTAAGAGGTTGGCAGGTTGGGATTAAAATAGTATTACAAATATTATTGTTGGGTTTGTAAGACAAATGAGGTATCAAATGAAAGATAATTGAGTGGACTAGATATATATGTTTGTAAACTTAATTCTTCAGTTTAACTAAAATAAACTACCACGAAGACATCCGAATAGCATTGAGTCAAAATGGCCACGGAGACGCAGCGCCGCCCTTCGCACCCGGGTCCCATACCTCATTGTGTCTTACAAACCAAACAATAATATTTTAAATATATATTTTTTAAATCTCAAACTCTCACTTCTGGTACCCGGGCACGAGTAGTCGCAGCCTACAGGAAATGAATTTTGTTTATTGTGTTGTTCAGAGGACCTTCCATTAGATTCTGCATCCCTTTTTTTTTAATGTTAAAATAACAATAGCTTTAGCACTTGGGGTGGCGAAAGAGGAGATAGTGTCCCGGGGGGGGGGGGCACCGTCAGACAAAGTACGAAGTGCAACAGTTGGGAGAGAGTATTCTCATTAGTTGTTAGCAGGTGGCACTGTCAGACAAAGTACTGAGTACAACTACAACAGGTGGTAGAGAGTATTCTCATTAGTTGTTAGCAGTGGCGTAGGAATAGATGGGGTTCCGGGTGGCACTTTTATTTTCTTTATATAAAGGGGCGGCATTTTTGGCCAACTAGAGGGTTTTTACAATGGAAGGGGAGCTGCAAAAATCTTGACCCGCCCTGGGTGGCTACGCTACTATTTTTGAGGTGGTTAAGTTGTATAATTTGAGAAGTGAACAATTTTATTTCAATCTTTGAGTTGATCATAGTTTATGATAATTTATTTTAACAATAAAACTTTATTGGTTAATTGAGATAATGTTTACACTTTTTTGTGTTTTTGTTTTAGAAACACTGTTGTTGTAATAATATTATTTTTTTTTAAAAATACAAAAGAGATGCACGCAGAAACATACATTAGATCATTCACACAATGTCGTATTTGATAATCCAATAATAAATAATAAGCCTGGTTGCTACTAACCGACATTGTTGATGGCACCATACAAAATTTCACAAATCGGGCCCAATTCTTTTATTCACACGTATTTACTTATTTACTGTGATCATTATTACAGTTGGCTAAGAAAACTTTAAAACAGTGAGTTGTACAACTGCCACACGTCTGTTCTCCCTATTACCATGCAGTGGTCATGGTAGGACTGGACGGGCAGGTTGTAACGATAGCAGCGGTCGCCTGCATCACGATAGGGCAGACACATGTCACGTGGGTTCATGATGCAGTGGCGGCCGGGTATGGTCGGAAGCTTAAGCTTGTCGTGGCAAACTGGCAAGACTGGAAGAATGTTTGAATTTCTGTTGTAGAAAAATGAATTCCATTTATTTAAATGTATTTATTTTTTAAAAAATAACAACAACATAATGTAAGGATTTCCAACTATTTAAAAAATCACATTATATAGATTTACTTCCATCCCGTGTCTTAAAATTGAAAAAAAAAATTAAAGCAATACTTTTAAAAAATCAATACAATGACTGTTGCGTCTGTCCAGGGTAGAGTTCACAGTGACCAATGGTAGTCCTTGGGGGCCGTCCATAAAGTACGTCACGCTATTTTTTACCATTTTACCCCCCCCCCCCTGTCACAAACTGTCACAAATCTCTGACCCCCCCCCCCTAAAGTACGTCACACTTTCGAACAAAATTTAAAAAAAAATTAACACCTAATTGAAATTTAATCTAAAACACACTTCACTATTAAACTGTATTAAAATATAAAATTTCCAATTAATTTCCACTATCACATGTTTAAAATGACTTTAATAGTAGAATAGTTAATTGTCAACAGTTGTCACGGTTATTCATTGAAGCAGTAACTCAATCTAGATTGAATTTGAAAACAAAAATTGCAAAAATTAGACTATACAATTATATAATACACATCATTTATCTGCTGCTTTTTCATTTACAATAGGTGAGGTCAAGTTTCAGATAATCTTCTGATTATGAATTCATCAATCTTTTTACACAGGTTAAGAAGTATATTAGAGAAACTTTACCTCACCAAATGATTAAATAATAAAAAGGACAGTGACAGAATTATGCAGCGGACAACATAGAAATAATACTACTTCAGGCATGACGAAAGCAAGGCTGTACATGAAACAAGGCTTCGCAACAACATACTAGCGCTCCTAGCGAAAGGAATCGTGAACAACACATTCAGGAGATACGCATTTCATGCTAGTTGACATAAAACTAATTCAAATGATACACACAATTTTTGAATTTTTTTTTTAAAGCTAATAAATACCACTAAAAAAATAAAAAATAAATTAGAAGTAAAAATTAAAAAAAAAATAAATGTGTGACGTCACACATGGCCTGACCCCCCCTCCCCCGGTCACACTTTCTTTCACCCCCCCCCTGGGGCGTGACGTACTTTATGGACGGCCCCTTGTACTTTATGGACGTCTTTATTTCTTAATATAACTACATTTCATGAACTCTTAGCAAACCCAGTCACAATTCCACAGACTTTGAGATACTGCCTTTAGTCCGCTTGGATGACTCAACGTATCAAACTGGTCATTTTGTAGGACATCTTCAACCCGCTCAAGTGTTCAGCTTGTACTGTAGTGTAGACAACAAGTCTCATATATCTGGCATTGAGTCAGATGCATTGACCGTTGCGTCCCTGGGTCCTATCTTCAAAGAGCCAAAATCGCCATTTTTCAAAATGAAAATTATATTACTCAATACTTTTACCCGGTCACCACTGAAGGTAATGTAGGCCTACTCAAATAGGCCATATTTAAATATAAAATATCATTTTGTTGCAGTATCTATGAATGTATACCCCAGCCTGCTGAATAGTCAGAGTCGTTTAGTCCCAGGCACATTTGACGTTGCTTGCTGAATAGTCAGAGTCGTTTAGTCCCAGGCACATTTGACGTTGCCTGCTGAATAGTCAGGGTCGTTTAGTCCCAGGCACATTTGACGTTGCTTGCTGAATAGTCAGAGTCGTTTAGTCCCAGGCACATTTGACGTTGCCTGCTGAATAGTCAGAGTCGTTTAGTCCCAGGCACATTTGACGTTGCCTGCTGAATAGTCAGTGTCGTTTAGTCCCAGGCACATTTGACGTTGCCTGCTGAATAGTCAGAGTCGTTTAGTCCCAGGCACATTTGACGTTGCCTGCTGAATAGTCAGAGTCGTTTAGTCCTAGGCACATTTGACGTTGCCTGCTGAATAGTCAGGGTCGTTTAGTCCCAGGCACATTTGACGTTGCTTGCTGAATAGTCAGAGTCGTTTAGTCCCAGGCACATTTGACGTTGCCTGCTGAATAGTCAGAGTCGTTTAGTCCCAGGCACATTTGACGTTGCCTGCTGAATAGTCAGAGTCGTTTAGTCCCAGGCACATTTGACGTTGCCTGCTGAATAGTCAGAGTCGTTTAGTCCCAGGCACATTTGACGTTGCCTGCTGAATAGTCAGAGTCGTTTAGTCCCAGGCACATTTGACGTTGCCTGCTGAATAGTCAGGGTTGTTTAGTCCCAGGCACATTTGACGTTGCCTGCTGAATAGTCAGAGTCGTTTAGTCCCAGGCACATTTGACGTTGCCTGCTGAATAGTCAGGGTCGTTTAGTCCCAGGCATATTTGACGTTGCCTGCTGAACAGTCAGGGTCGTTTAGTCCCAGGCAGATTTGACGTTGCCTGCTGAATAGTCAGGGTCGTTTAGTCCCAGGCACATTTGACGTTGCACCAAAGCCAAAGAAATGACAGTAATGGATCATAGTTTATGGAAGGGGGTGAAACTAACAAAGTAAACTGAGAGCAGAGTGGTTCCCCTTACCCTGCTCCTCGATAGGACACATTGGGGGGCTCGTCCATGCCTTCAAAGTTGTACAACTTGATGTTACATGTTTTAGTGATGATAGCATGAAGGCGGATGGCGTCTGCTATGCTCTTCACACCAAACCTATAACAATAAATATGGTTGAAGGCTACCATAACAGTAAACATGATTGAAGGCTACCATAAAAGTAAACATGATTGAAGGCTACCATAAAAGTAAACATAATTGAAGGCTAAGAACATCTAAACAAGTCTTTTAACTACATTTCATTTTCCCCTTCTGGAAGAGATTTTCAGAGGTCATTGCTCATGAAAGAATCATTTCAGACTCTGATCTGAAAATGCCAACCACCCAGCAAGTCAGCAAGTCGGCAAGCAATACGACAAGGCGAATGTAGTTTAAATAAAAGGACATATCTTGTGTAAATTTCATTCATTAAATGGCCATTAAGAAACCCTGATACTTGTACACAAATGTTTATATTTTACTTTGCATATTTGGGGGAGGGCCGGTGTGCACTGAGCCTATGAGGTCAGTTAACCCTGATACTTGTACACAAATGTTTATCTTTTACTTGGCATATTTAGGGGAGGGCCGGTGTGCACTGAGCCTATGAGGTCAGTTATCCCTGATACTTGTACACAAATGTTTATCTTTTACTTGGCATACTTGGGGGAGGGCCGGTGTGCACTGAGCCTATGAGGTCAGTTAACCCTGATACTTGTACACAAATGTTTATCTTTTACTTGGCATATTTGGGGGGGGGGGGGGGGCCGGTGGGCGCTGAGCCTATGAGGTCAGTTTTTGGAAACCTTGTTATGAATCTAATGAATTTTTGATTCACTTCAGGCAATTTTTAAATTAGGGCCGGTGTGCACTGAGCCTATGAGGTCAGTTAACCCTGATACTTGTACACAAATGTTTATCTTTTACTTGGCATATTTGGGGGGGGGGGGAGGGCCGGTGTGCGCTGAGCCTATGAGGTCAGTTTTTGGAAACCTTGTTATGAATCTAATGAATGTTTGATTCACTTCAGGCAAATTTTAAATCATGAATGTTTGATTCACTTCAGGCAAATTTTAAATCATGAATGTTCTTTATGAATGACCTTTGTGAGACCTTTATATTACCTTTGTAAGTCATAGACGCTTAGATCACCTAAGCGAGCTCCATTTATAGCATTCCTGCTAAAGCAATTAGCATATTTTGAGTATCCTATATCACATATGTATCTATGGACATCCAGGAAAGTCCACATGCTGGGTAGCGGCCAAGCACTGGGTGCATTTTGATTAGAGCTTCCGGGGTTAGGCATGTAGTCCATATTTATCTCAAAATGGCTGATCAAACTTTCTGTCAAATGAAGACTGGATTAGAATCAGGGATAAAGTCAAGGTGAAAATAAAAATTGGAACTTACCCAAGACCACCCCCCCCAAAAAAAAAAATGGGAACTTCCCCAAACCCCCCCCCCCCCAACGAAATAAACACATATAAACATACAGGCACACCATTCCCACGCGCTTCTGAAGGACTCAGCCCACTTGATAATTATGTGAAGGCTGCGAATAGCGATTTTGGCTAAAGGGACTCGGGTCCCTATAACCACTTCATTATGTAAATTATTTGTCAAATATCCCAGGCCTGAAAATGCATTTCGATTTTTAAAGAGTAATGTTTTTAGACTATGCAAATATTTACTTTCTATGCTTTGTCAGCAAGTAGATCTTTGCTTTGTCTGCTTTGTCAGCAAGTATATATTTGCTTTGTCTGCTTTGTCAGCAAGTAGATCTTTGCTGACCATATAGAGCTTGGAATATATCATTGGAAACTAATACAACAGAACGCTACATATTTCCATGACACCCCCTCTTTCATGTTGACACCAATTCTTTTTACAAATTTGGCCGTCTTAATTTTTTAATGATTTTTTCGCTCTTTTGCCCGAGTATTACACTACGGTAAAAATACACCAATGGACGCCATTTCTCCCCATTTCTATTAATAAGTATTCTATCTTCCCATTATTGAGATGATGGATCTAAGTGGTGCATTGCCGGAATTCTTTTTTTGACCAATAATACAGTAAGAAAACCGAGTCCCTTAGCCAGGGGCGGGTCTGGTCGGGGAGTACCGGGGTCTGGATCCTCCTGCTGACGTCAAGAAATTTTTCGTAGTGACCAAAATTCTATGAGTCCTCAAAGGATGGCTAAGGTGGGACCCCACCCCCTATCAAAAGTCACCTTCGCCCCTCACGCCTAACGTAATTTCGCTTCAAACAATTCAAATGTTACAGATTTTGAAACTAAGCGAGTAAACATATTCCCGGTATGACAGGTCCCATCATTATGACAAGTAAGTCTCAGTATGAAGGGACCCATCATTATGACAAGTCCCAGTATGAAGGGTCCCATCATTATGGCAAGTAAGTCCCAGTATGACGGGTCCCATCATTATGGCAAGTAAGTCCCATTATGGCGGGTCCCATCATTATGACAAGTAAGTCCCAGTATGAAGGGTCCCATCATTATGAAAAGTAAGTCCCAGTATGAAGGGTCCCATCATTATGACAAGTAAGTCCAAGTATGAAGGGTCCCATCCTCATGACAAGTAAGTCCCGGAATGACGGGTCCCATCATTATGACAAGTAAGTCCCATTATCCATTATGACGGGTCCCATCATTATGACAAGTAATTCCCAGTATGACGGGTCCCATCCTCATGACAAGTAAGTCCCGGAATAACGGGTCCCATCATTATGACAAGTAAGTCCCATTATCCAGTATGACGGGTCCCATCATTATGACAAGTAAGACCCGGTATGACGGGTCCCATCATTATGACAAGTAAGACCCAGCATGACGGGTCCAATCATTATGACAAGTAAGACCCAGTATGACGGGTCCCATCATTATGACAAGTAAGACCCAGTATGACAATAGCATATCTTAAGTTGTGTAGTTAGGGTCATCCAGGGTGGGTTGAGCCTTTTTCTGCCCTTCAATATAAGATAGAAAAGAGGGAATGACCCCCCCCCTTTTTTCCTATGCCACTGTGTGTCTTAATATCATATCCTTAATGTCTGCAGGCTTACTCAAATTGGACTATCTATAAAATGTACTTTTATTGCAGTAGCTACAAATACTACAATGAAAACCCCAGCCTGCTTACCCAACGGGGTAACTTCAATGGTCCCGCAAAAGTCAATTTTCACATAGCCCCGTACAACCACAGCGCCAGCATTTTCAATTAAAAATTGAATACATCACATCATCATGTCATACAGTGGTATCATCATGTCATATAGTGGCATCATCATGTCATATAGTGGCATCATCATGTCACATCATACAGAGGGTTATCACTTAAACATATAACGCTTTTAATAACTGAAATAAAACATATGTGTACGTAGCTAAATACTTAGTTAATTAGGCTACTACCCGGCCCATGGTCACGTTAGCTTATATGTATTTGCCTTATCTACGCAGCTAATCAACATAGGCCTAGCTGCGGCAACACCTTGATATGAATTATATTCACGGATTGATGGAAAGGTTGTGATTTATTATATAGTTGGGTTCCTGAAGAATGTCCCATTCGAAAAGAGTGAAATTTATCATGACCCTGAAAGGGAAGTTGCGGATTTTTAAGGTTATAAATGCATAAGTATTAATAACATTTCAATCTGTATTACTATTTATTATTGCATTCAAAATGTATTCATTTTGCAAAAATAAGCAGGCCTATTTAAAGAAAATAATAATTATATTTTAATAAAATTAAAATAGTCGCTGGACTAGTAGTGCATACCCTTTTTAAAATTCGTATAGGCCTATATTTTAAAGTTAAAACTTGAAATTCGTATATAAACATTTAGATAAAGCATAATGTTAATAAATTTTTTGCGATCTTTAAATTTTGGCTTTGCTTTCATTTCAACTTAAACTGTTTAAGTTAAACATTGTGTAATATATCTACATTTTAATTAACATTTCGTAACCTAATAATTTGAAAAAAACCTTGATATTGATAGGCCAAAATGGTTATTTATTAACAAACATTTTAAATAACGTCATATATTTTTTGACAAGTGTGCGTTATCATTTTTAAAATTAACTATTTATATCGTTATCGAATTATTGTGGCGAACTAATTTTGGTTTTAAAAAATCAGGTTGTCTTGGTAACGATAAGCGCTTCGCAGTGTATTATGGTCTTTCAAAATAACGAAAGCTCCATACCAAAATGAATGGGCATGGGTGTTTAGGAAATTATTAATTGCAAGGCTTGGTCATTACAGATAACTTCTAAGACTTAAGTTCACTTTCCACCCATTTATTTCAAGGAGGTCTAAGTAGGCAACTAGAAAAACTTCAAAGGTATGTAGTATGTAGACAGGATGGTCGGATGGTGCTTTTTTTGTTAATATTTTTGACTTATTTCATTTTGATTTTCGGTTATTAGCGTTAGAACTGCATATAATTATTACGTCAGAAATATGTTACATTATCATCTATATAATGTATAAATGAATATTACCAATTATTTATTATGTGAAAGTCAATATTTGATTTAAATGCCCTGGGCCTGAATGGTGAATCTAAGATTAAGGCACGTGGTCATTTAGTCACGATTCCCTAACCCTCAGTAACTCCATGTCATGCTCTTGTCCTTGTTAATGCATATGAACTAAATTTTTAGCAGTTTGTCTAAAAGTATAATGTAAAAATATAATATCTGTCTTTTAGCTTTTATGATTTCACTATAATTTGGCTTCTAAATAAATTTTAACCAACATTGAAATTTGAATTAAAACCAGTGCTTTTTTTGTGCCGGTACTTTTCTTGTATTTTAACGTTTATTATTAATTTATTATATTATTAATTTGTTAAAATTGAATTATTTTAAAATTGCGCGCAATAAGAATTAAAATATAAATGGGAAACTGCTTTCCTTGTAGTTAAAAGTTAGTTAATCCATCACTGAGTACCGGCAGCTATTTTTTTTACAAAAAAGCACTGATTAAAACTATACATAAACCTCGAAACACACTAAGATTTACATCAAATAAAATTTACAGATAGATCCCTCTTGAAATGTAGGCCTATCTATCTTTTGCTGTTCTCTGAAGTAGACTATAGAAAAAAGCTCAAATTATTTTTAATGATTAAGGGGTCTATGTCTTACATATTCAGTTTATCTAATTTTATTCATGTAAATTTATTGACTAACAGATAATTAGCAGACCGTAAGTAAAAATTAAGGAAAGACAGATTGACAAAATAATTATTAGATCTCTTTTAAAACTGAATGAAAGCCAGTATTTTACAAGGATTTATTTCCATGGGGGTCGATAAAGGTGGTGTTACAAAGATATTTTATTATTTATTAACATAAATTTAACTTTAAATAAATAAACCCATAGCAAATTTATAGTAATGTGGCAGCTCAAAATGGCACCATAATTATAGTCTCGTTTTTGCAGTTATGTATGAGAACAAATAAAAAATCAACATTAAAAAAACTTCCTTAAACTGCATTTTTTTGTATTCATATCAAGATTTTAATTCTTTGGTTTAATTTTTAAATATTTTATTTTAAATGAATGAAAGTAAATAAATTGGGCTTCAAAAAATTATTTGCATGCATGCTGACACACTTTGAATAAAAAAATAATTAGAATGTAAGAATAAATTATGGCAGCTATTAAGATGTGTCCTAGAAATGATAAAATACGTCTTCGTTAACTCTTTACTAGGTATCACTTCTAATCCACATCAGCATGGCTGATTATATACCTGTCGTAAAGAGTGATGATATGCCAGCACCCATGAGGGACGAGGCTTTAACTTGTGCCAAAAGTGCTATTAAGCTGTACAGCGTAGAAAGGGTAAGGAAAACTTGAGATGATAATTATTGAAATGTCATGAAAACTTGAGATGATTATTACTGAAATGTCATGAAAACTTGAGATGATTATTACTGAAATGTCATGAAAACTTGAGATGATAATCATTGAAATGTCATGAAAACTTGAGATTATTATTATTGAAATGTCATTAAAACTTGAGATGATAATCATTGAAATGTCATGAAAACTTGAGATGATTATTATTGAAATGTCATGAAAACTTGAGATGATTATTACTGAAATGTCATGAAAACTTGAGATGATTATTACTGAAATGTCACAAGTTACTCAAACCAACATGTAATGGGTAAAATATTAATTTAAAAATTTAATAAGATGAATATATTTCATATTTGAAAGCTGAAAGACAAATTAATCATACAGAGGGTTATCACTTAAAAATTTGAAAGTGTTAAACTTAGGGTTGATAGACATGCTTTTTAATCTACTGAAAAGGATGCCATTTTAAGAAAATGACTTAATATAAATTGCATTGCAGGACATTGCCGCCTATATCAAAAAGGAATTTGACAAGAATCACAATCCTACATGGCACTGCATTGTTGGCCATGATTTCGGCAGCACTGTATCCCACGATAGCAAAAACTTTATTTATTTTTTTGTTGGAGAACTGGCTATTCTTCTCTTCAAGTCTGGATGAACAACTTTTTTTAAAATAATAATTAACGTTACCAATATAACCTGTCCAAATCTGTAATGACCAAGCCAAATTTTACATCATATAAGTTGTCCTGAGTTGAATTTAAATATATCATCAGATGGCATGCTTTGAACTTCCATCTCATAGAAATGCCATTGTTATTGAGAAGACTTAACTTAAAAGTGTACATTGATTAATATGAATTTCCAACTTGAGGCATAACAATCAGTTTCAAGTTTCATTGACATAATAAACTTTTAAGTTGCCTACTTAATTATAACCTTATCCACTCTTAGCTGTGGTTGTCTATTTCTTTACTGCTGTTGTTTCTGATTGTTTAAATATTTATTACATGTTGTATAACTTAAACTTAAAATAAATTAATGTCTTATTTGCCTTTAAATGAAAATTTACCAGCGCCTGAAATAATTTTGTTTAAAACTCAACTTCTTAACTTAAAGATAAAGAGCACACGTTAAAAATAAACAACACAAATGCAGAAATATGAGCAAATTTAAACTGTACTTCAGTTATTATATGAGGTTGTTTTTTCTACTGTTAATAAGAATAACACATTTGTGTCTATTGCCTCAAGCCTTCAAACCCCTAGTGCATGATTTCCTCATCAACACCAGTAACAGAAACATAGCAAATCCCATCTACATGCATAGGAGCCAAAATGATCAATAAATTGATCGTGGGACCTTAAGATATAGAAGAAGAAGAATATGTTTCAAATAACAGATTTCCTACAAATGTATTAATTACTAAGTTAATAAGCTGAAATTCAATTATTTGATGGTTTATAGATACATTCAATTATCTTGATTAAAACATTATTAGACTTCACAACAGAAACACATTTGTTTTCTGGTTAAACATATTTTATTTCTTAATCAAAGGCATTATAAAGCCATAGGTCAATATGAACATACAAGTTAACAAGTATAGATTGTTGACATAGAAGAAGTATCATTCATTCAAAAATAACACTTTTATAAAACACAATTACATTGCCATTTTTACATTGCTGAGGAAAATTCAAACTTAAATCATTGTAATCAGTGGCAAAAATAGAAAGGAATTTCTTTTAATTTAATTTGTATATAATTAATACAATTTTTTTTAAAAATGAAAAAACAAATTAATTTGAACAATAGACCTGCAGAGCATGAGTAGATTTGTCTCACAGCGCCAGTGGTTGAACCAGTGCAATAAATAATAGACTCCAGACTAAAAACATTGAATATTATGAAATGATGTCTTTCTTTTTAAAAAGTTTTAAATTATTTTACAAATTTGCATTGGAAATTAAAACCCCAGTGGAGATTCATATCATACATGCTGCAGTCATACATTTTAGTAGCCACAGTGTAGCCCTAAGGATAACCCTGTATTCTCAAGGGAGATATTTTTGTCATGAAAAAGATTTTGTGACCATTCATAAATTAAATATTTTCTTATCACAAATAAATAATGTTTACAGCTTAGAAAAGACAGGCTTCTGCTTCTGCATTGATGCACCAACAGCCTTGGGAATATCTTCTGATTGGAGCATTGCTGAATTCCAGGTTGCCTAGTGGGGAAACATTCAAGAATTTGCTTAGTGATATCAGGAAGTGACTTTTTATTTAGATATCTTTCCCACAATAGCCATCTGCAAATCCCTTTAACAGCTTTGTCAGATTGCAAAATTTAGTGATAGTTTCCTAGCATGAGGCTGACATGATCTTCATTTATTTAGCTCTGAGAGACACTCAAGCAGATTTTATACAATTTATTAATATTTTTTAATTGAAAGCTTTAATTATTTATTTATTACATAAAAATTCTATATAGATAAAAATGTTGCAACTTCAAGGCTAAAATGTCATGTGATCTTAATTTCCAAGAAATACCAAATGCTTTTAGGTGAAACGCGTGGTTTTAGGTGTTTTCTTAACACTATTTGAATGAGTTTGACTAAATGGATACCGACTAGACTCACTTAGGGTATGGATCTATGCAAATATTATATGACACAATAATATGACATTTTCGAGCCACCCTCTAACCCTTATATTATTACATACCATTTTTTCATTTAGAACCCACCTACTCATATTATATGACAGTTCTAATTCTAGCACCCCATCCTAAAAAAACATTTAAAAAAAAATAAGTCCAAAAACACACAAATTTCCAGCAAAAAGCCAGAAATAGTTTTTACAATAATGTATCCATTACTGTCAATAAAAAATACATTAAAGTTTTAATAATCTAGGTCAATTTCATAAATTTGAAGAGCAGAATTATTTTTAAAAAAAAAAGAATTAATAAAAGACATTTTAAAAAATTAAAAGAATTGTTATATAACATTGCTCTCCACCGCCATCATCCCCCACCTCTTATAACACAATATATCAAGATGATAAACCACCCCCTAACCCCTTCATTTTATCAAATATGTGAACAGCCCCCATCTAATGCTTGGGGCAAAGGGCCACAATCGATTACTGTGGACTTATAATATGGGACATAACCACCAGTTCATATAAACTATGAAATTAATTTTAAAAATTATCAGTGACAAGGTCGACATTTTTTTTCTTACCATATAATCCAGCCCTTGGTAAACACCATGGTCCCTGGAATATACAACATTGACCTTTGTCCCTTGAACAGCCACTGGACTTTTCTCAGCAATTTGTTTGGCCAGCTCAACAGCTGCATCAATTAATGACGCTTTATCAGGCAGTATACGGCTGAAAGTAAACAATAAAACAGCTGTGATTGCAACCAAAAATAATACTTAGATGTGATTGCAACCAAAAATAATACTTAGATGTGATTGCAACCAAAAATAATACTTAGATGTGATTGCAACCAAAAATAATACTTAGATGTGATGGCAACCGACAATAATACTTAGATGTGACTGCAACCAACAATAATACTTAGATGTGATGGCAACTGATGTTTTCTTTTCCCTACTTGGATTCCCAGGTTCCGGATCTTTCTAAGGCAAGTGTTTGTGAACTTGTGAACTTTTACAGAGGCGCATCATCCCAGATACAAAATTTCACAACTCATCTACAAAGATGAACAAGCTTGCATGTCTTGACTCCCATGTTAATACAACCCAAATATATCTTGACCTCCACATGACCTTGTAACTCCACTGACCCAACATGAACTTTGTAACTCCCCCAAAGCAACATGACCCAGCTGATGAAGATCTTTCTCCACATCATCCATCCATCTAAGCCTAAGTCTGCCTTTGAGCCGTTTTCTTCTGGGGTTTTGGTGATGCACCCTCTTCACTCCCCCGTCAATGCCATTCTTTTTAAGAGTCCCCACCTTTATTTATTTTTTCTACTAGCGTGGGATCTTGATACAGCCTATACAATTCCTGGTTGGTTCGTATTCTCCATCCATGTATGTTACAGCTGGTCTGATTAAAGTTGTCACTTGGAAAAAAGTTAGTGAACGACGTGTTTTGATTTTTTTCACCACTGTAACTTTTTCAAGCCACTGCAAAATCCAAATTTGAAATAAAGAGTACAAAATGTGACCACTTCCCAGAAAAGCAGGGTGGGGCGGGGCGGGGGATTAAACTTTTGAATCAAGCATGACAGTATTGACACGATCAATGTACAAACCTTATGAATCAAGCATGACAGTATTGACAAAATCAATGTACACACCTTATGAATCAAGTATGACAGTATTGACACAATCAATGTACACACCTTATGAATCAAGCATGACAGTACTGACACAATCAATGTACAAACCTTACTAATCCCATTGACTTAGCTTCATCGGAGTGAAACTTTCTACATGTATATGCCAGCTCTCTGAAGAGACCATCATTGCCAATGATTTTGGGAAACCGCTGTAGAGTTCCAAGGTCAGCTGCTAGGCCTATGTCAACTTCCTATAATTATGAAAAATTATGCAAAACCATGTTTTTTCGTAAACTGAAAAATGGAGACTTTTTATTGATTAGAATGTTTTTCAAAATTATTTACAATATCAAACTGGTTTATAGCTTACAATTTATCAGTCAGCAAATTCTTGACTTATTGATTATAACAGCCCACCTCACCCCCACTTCCGGGTCCTTCCTCAGCCATCTCTTAAACTAGTCTAGGGTCATGCAATACCAGGAACAAATTGAGAATATCTAGTTCTAAGACTAGGCATCAGCTGTTGGAGGGATAGTTTTAATACGACATGACTTTGATACATTCACAAGTACCCTGTACCGGTATATATTGCATTACTGATGTCCCATATTTGTTTGACATTCATAAGGTGAATGTGTATTAATTAAGGAAGAAGGTGCCAAACTTCAAAACTTAAAAGCCAAGTCCTATACCTTACCCTATAGCAATATCTATATACCTGCATCTGTAAAATCTTTGAAGGAACCCACCTTAATCTGGAACCACGCATCTTGTGAGCAAAATCGGATATCACATGCTGAGATCATGTCCACCCCACCACCGACACATCCACCATGAATGGCTGCGATCACAGGCTTAGGGCACTAGAATTCACAAGATCATCATTTTTTACTTCACAGTGAAGTGCATCGGCAGAAAAATATTTCACCATGATTAGATTTATTGATAACACATAATACTGATAAATAGTCAAACTTTTCAAATTACTTGAACCATTTGAAAAAAAAGCTGACCGTACTTTGTATTGGCAGTAAGCAGAGTAGAATGTTGACAGTAGAAAAATGGCTCTTCAAATTAAATACAACCATATAAATTAATTCAGTTCATTATTGATTTCAAACTCTCTTCCTCAACATTAAAACCTATTTAATTTCAAATATGCTAATGATTTGCTTTGGCAGTTTTATGTAATATTATTTTATAAAAAAATTTTAATGTGTAAGCGCCACATTACAAGGCGGCTCAATGGCATACATTATCACAGAAATAATAAATGTATAAAAAACAAACATTTTACAACCAAGAAGCAGCACCTTCTCAATGGCATTAAATGACTCCTGTAGTTCACGGACTCCTTGTCCAATCTGGAATGCTTTCCTGGAAGAATCGGAACTCTCTGATGCCATCAGCTTTTTAAACACTTCATTTTCATAAAGATCCAAGCCTGGAATAGAAATGACACCAAATAAAACAACAAGATTACTTTTATATAAAACTGAGCTCATCAACTTCCTGCTACCGCTATTTTTCCAAACAAAAGGTCAGCATATGCTGGAGACAAAAAATGCATTACAAAAGCACATGAGAATATCAAAGGCATAAGTCACTCACAAGCAACTGGCCAATAGCAACATTCATTGTCCTATTGTGTGTATGCTTTTTTAGCTCTTGCCATTAGGATCCAATAAAATTTGCTTCATTCTTACATTGTTGAGACCGGCCTTATGGTTTATAACTCTGCTTATTGTCTTGTTGATTTTTGCACATTAGCAGTCTATTACTGATGTGCTTTACCTAAATACACATTCATACCTGCTGTGAACAGTTTGCCTGCACCAGAAAGCACTACAGCTCGGCAGTCCTGATCATTAGTGAGTGTGTTGAAGCAAGACAATACTTCCCTAAAATTGAGACATTAAAAGATATCTTTGCAATAAAATACAGGCAGTCTCAGGGTAAGAAACGCATTCCCCTCGTATGTATGCTAATCAAATGTGTACATTAGTGGGATAAGTTTTGTGTCATGTCAGTCACATATGTGTATCTGGCATCAGCAAGTTATATCCCTGTCTTAGTCTGCAATATCTTTTTATTTAAAAAAAAAATATAACAGAAACATTTGATTAAAATAATAATAGATGCCCTGCAATCAGTTCTCCCATTTTCATTTCATATTATCAATTTTTTAATAAATAGTTACTTATTCATTTAGTCTGTATTTGTATCAAAATTAAATAACAAAGAACTATGTTTTAAATGTCCCTCCCCACTTATTATAAAATTGCAGTCCAACACTTTTTATTATAAAATTGTTATGGTCTCTCCCCCTTTATTATAATATTGTGTGATGCAATATGAAGAATATTGCTGCATGAATATTTTTTTAAAAGTCAATGTTTAAGAAAGAAAACAATTCAATTTCACTCTCAGATATGGAGTATATTGTCTATTATTGATACTTAATAGGTGTAATTTATTGGTAAGAAAGAGAAAAAACGTGCATAATAACTAAAGAAATACAGTCTAACAACTATTTGTGATGTTGAAAACTATTGCTGATGATGCCCATATATATGTCATAAAAATTATAGTCCGGCAGTATTGTTCCAGTCTCTAACCTCTTATTATAATATTGTTGTAGTCTCTAACCCCTTATTATAATATTGTTGTAGTCTCTAACCCCTTATTATAATATTGTTGTAGTCTCTAGCCCTTTATTATAATATTATGACAGTATTTCCCCCTGATTATAATATTGTTGTAGTCTCTCCCCACTTATCATAGCTGAGCTTGATCGTCTTGATGCCCCTCCCCTTGAATTGCCTCCTTTCCCTTGTCTTACTTCACATTTTAATATTTTTAAACCTGTTTCAGAACTTGAGGTAAAAAATATAATCCTAAAATCTAAACATACGTCATGTTCTTTGGATCCCATCCCAACCCCCCTGTTGGTTGAGTCATTAGATATCTTGCTCCCAACAATAACCCGCATAATAAATGAAAGCTTATATTCTGGCACTGTTCCGCCTCTTTGCAAATCAGCTGTCATCAAACCATTGCTTAAGAAGCCCGGTCTGGATGAAAATAATTTAAAAAACTATAGACCTGTATCTAACTTATCATTTTTATCTAAAGTTATTGAAAAACTAGTCCTAAAACAACTTTTTGCTTACTTAAATGATCACTCTCTTCTCAGTTCTAATCAGTCGGCCTATAGACATTTCCATAGCACGGAGACAGCTCTCTTGAGAGTCAGTAATGACCTCTTGCGCGCAATGGACAGCGGTAATGTCTCCATTTTGATCCTCTTAGACCTCAGTGCGGCCTTTGACACTGTTGACCATGAAATCCTTTTCAAAACCCTTGAAAACTACTTTGGAATTTCTGGTTCGGTTTTGGCTTGGTTTAGGTCCTACCTCTCTGATAGAACGCAAATGGTCTCTGTCGATGGCTGTCTCTCCGGCAGTGCTGATTTGGTGTACGGAGTGCCACAGGGGTCCGTTTTGGGTCCGGTTCTATTCATAATGTATACCAGACCACTACTCCTCTTGCTCGGGAGGCATGCTGTTGAGAACCAGTCATTTGCAGATGATACGCAGCTATACATGCATACCCATCCATCTCTTGTCGATTCCGCTGTCCAGACTTTGCGGGGGTGCATTGATGATGTCAAGTCTTGGATGACACTCAGCAAGTTGAAGCTTAATGATGACAAAACAGAAGCACTCCTCATTTACAATCACAAATCATCCTCTACCTCAACTCTTCCCACCTCATTTCAAGTAGGTAACTCCGACATACAGTTTACACCCTCTGCTAGGAATCTTGGTTATATTCTTTCTAACAACATGTCTCTCGATAAACATATCTCTCACATTTGTCGTTCAGCATACACCGCCATCCGTCAGATCAGCTCCATCCGCCACTACCTGACAGTTAGCGCAACAAAAACTCTAGTCTGTGCTCTTGTTCTCTCTCGTCTTGACTATTGCAACTCACTTCTGTCAGGTTCACCGAAACATTTTATAGAAAAACTGCAGAAAGTTCAAAACTCTGCTGCTAGGCTTGTTCTTAAGGCAAAAAAACGTGATCACGTCACTCCACTACTCCACTCACTACATTGGCTCCCTATACAGGCACGCATTGACTACAAGCTGTCTCTTCTCTGTCACAACTTTTTCTCGGATTCCTGCCCTTCCTATCTAACTGAACTTCTTTCTGTCTATTCACCCCTTCGACAACTTCGCTCCTCCGCAGACTCGCGTATTCTGTCCGTTCCCAAGACACGCACTAAATTATATGGTGAACGATCTTTCTCTTTCTGCGCCCCCAAACAATGGAATTCTTTGCCACTACACATCCGCAATATAACAACCACACAGGCCTTCAAAACTGCACTCAAAACACATCTATTTAAACTCTACTACTCTGACTGATTCCCCTCCTATAAACCGATAAACGTACATGGGTTTCCTTGTAAAAATGTCTGGTGTGGGTGGATGAATAGACCTATGGTGTTGTTTTGCTTATATGTTGTTTTGATTTCATTTATGTATTTTATTTTAATATTATGATTATGCCTCTTTGTTATATATGTACAGCGCGGTGAGCCCAGCCCTAGGCCGGGGTACTGCGCTATATAAGACCACTTATTATTAGTATTATTATTGTTGCAGTTTCCACCCCTTATCATAATATTGTTACAGTATCTCCCCCCTAATCATAATATTGTTGCAGTCTCTCCCCCTTATCATAATATTGTTGCTGTCTCTCCCCACTTATTATAATATTGTTGCAGTCTCTCCCCACTTATTATAATATTGTTGCAGTCTCTCCCCACTTATTATAATATTGTTACAGTCCCCCCCCCCACTTATTATGATAATTGTTAACACCTTGAGTATGTAAACTAAGATATGACCAATAATCTAAATATTTCAGAAAGAGGGAGTTGCAATTCAGGTTGATTATACATTCAGCATTAATAATTAAGAGCACAGCTGCTGGCTAATTTCAGAAATTAATATTAATAGCCCATAAGTTTTGAATAATAAATATTCACATGGTTTTAATTTTGTTAGTGTTTGGATTATAAAACCATACTAGACAACTTCACATGTTCAAACTTTATGATCATGAAAAGTGTCTAGACAACTATTGACCATAGTTGACTATTGACTGTATAGTCAACTCTCGACACCACGTGTTTGTCTTGAGACTTACGGAAGGCGCACTTTCGCATTTGCTGGTCCAACAATTTGGAACGCCCTTCCAGTCGATCTCAGATCAACCAGACACTGGAGTCCTTTAAAACCAATTTAAAGACACATTTATTTCGCAAACACTTTCTGGGATGATTGTCTACCATATTTTCCATTTAATGCATATTGGCTCTGTTGCTCAGGGTTGAAATGGCTAGAAAGACTTTGACTTGGTATGCTTGTAATTAGTTTTTGTAGTGTTGCGTTTGTTTTAAATGTGGTAAATTATTATTATTTTTTTTAAAACTTTGTACCGCGCTTCGAGCCTTTGGGGATGAGGCGTGTTTTTGAAATAAACTTTATCATTGTTATTATTAGACATGTTCAAACTTTATGATCATGAAAAGTGTCTAGACAACTATTGACTAGACATGTTTAAACTTTATGATTTTAAAAAGTGTCTAGACAACTATCAACTAGACATGTTTAAACTTTAAGATTTTAAAAAGTGTCTAGACATGTTTAAACTTTAAGATTTTAAAAAGTGTCTAGACAACTATTGACTAGACATGTTTAAACTTTATGATCATGAAAAGTGTCTAGACAACTATCAATTAGACATGCTTAAACTTTAAGATTTTAAAAAGTGTCTTGACAACTATTGACTAGACATGTTTAAACTTTATGATTATGAAAAGTGTCTAGAGAAATATACATTTTCAAACTTTATCTATGATTATGAAAAGTGTTAATATTTCATATTTGTCTTGCATTGTAATTTGTAAAGGTATCTTCATACTTATTGAAATTATGCTATTTATTCAGCAACACGTTTCAGCTCATAATTTGTTTCAATCTATGCAGAGACATGAAATCACAACACTTAATGGCCTAATGGCTAATTGTGATCACTGAACTTTGCGGGCTAAATAAGAAAATCATTGCATTAAAAAAAGTAAAATGAAGCTGAATGATAAAATCTTTTAACTTTTCAATGCACATGATGACTATCCCAATGTTTTGTCGATAAAGTCCTTAAAAACTGATAGAAATTGATGAAGCATAAAATTCAAATTCAAACACTCATAGAACATTTATAAACTAATATCGTTTCTTACAATTGCAGAGTAGAAAAATTAATCAGCGTAATTTTAATCCCCTGTTTACAGAAAATTATAGATTACAGATATTAATTCAAACCTTGATTACAACAAGATTTTAAACAAAAATTTTATCAATATTCTGATACTTTTATAGATAGATTTATTTTTCAAATGTTCTCCGTGACATTTTGTGTAAAGGGAATTTCAGCTTTTACAAATATAAAATAAAACAGAAAAGAAAACGCTTCATAAAGATGTCTGATTTGTTTCAAATAAGGCTCAAATAAAATTGAGATTGAAGAAACAAAATTTTTAGAACTAAAGAAGAAATATGTCTTTGCGGAATATTGCTCTAGTGTTGTACTTTTTCAATTTCTTAGGAAGAGTAGATTTGTTTATGTAGTTATGTAGTGAATGGTTTTCTAATAAATAAACAAATATTGTGCACAGCATGCAACTTTAAGAAGCCTTCAGTTTAACAAGTTTTGGAACTAATATCTTATTATGCCTCAAGTAAGGTTTTCCATACGAAGCTAGACTTTTGAGAGATTGACAAAAATATAAGATAGAGAGAGATCGAAATTATTTGATAAATCGGCAGATCCATTTTAACGTTTAAATTGTAATGGAGTAAAATAAACCTACTTCCAAAATGCAGTGTTCATAGCATTACGTTTGTCTGGGCGGTTGAGCTCTACTTGTTTAACAAATTCTGCAGGACTTGTTACCTTAAGGGTTTGGAAATCATAGGATGGAGTCGCAGTGGAACTCATTGTTCTTTTTAATATCAATATTCTTTTGAAAAACTGTTTGTGATCTGTCAAATAATCATAAAGGCAAAATCAGTGCAATATCAATTTCTTGTCTGGATTTATTGCTTTTTAAAATTTTGATTATACCATAAAGGATAAGGTGAAGAAATCTCAAAAGATACACTAAAAAAATACACTGGAACAAACAATTACAGGCTATAAATCAGTAAAGCTCCTATCAGTGACAGCCGCATAGGCCTATATCTTTTTAAATGTTAGTATATTTCAAACAAAACTTAAAATACAATATAAACCAAGATTACCTCTACCTGTCGATATTAGAGGAACAATCAACTGTTGCATTTGTTTTGAATTTGACACCAGATTTTTCAACATGATGAATGATGTGTAGGTCTATCTAGCTTAGACCGATTAGTATCTAATCAATTGTTAAATTATTGATACAATACTGCCTACAGTCAAATGCTATGGCCTTGTTTGAGTATAGCTCAAGTTTAGAATTTCAGATGCTACAGACTATACTAGACTATAGCAGACTATAGTGCTCAAATCTAGAATTTAGTAAAATATTATAAATTAAGTCAGACAATCACAAATACACAGAATTTTAGATTACTACCGACAACTATACTGAGAAGGTAATAAAGTAAGTATTGTTATTATAAACTTATAAAATATAAACATTTAAATGCAATCTTGCTTGTCCTGTCAATTTAGTAAGTTAGTAACAATGTAACAACTCCCTAACATTCACATAAATACTGACATTAGATTAGACTTACACCTAAGTCTAAGCCTAGGCTTAGGCTCACTGATAACTGTTAGTATTTTGTAAATGTTAGTTAGGTCTAAGTCCCTACTTTTACTTACTAAATACTAATTACTAATAATTATTTTGATTTTGTTAAAACAACTGACTATATATTATAAATTTAAAATTGTCTAAAAACTAAATTGAAATTGACTACTGAGAACGGCGTTACTCTACTTCTACACTCTACAGTTACTATCACTAAAAATTCTATGACTATAATAATAATTTAGTATAATTTTACTGGCGTTAGCCCTTTCGTGTGGCTAGCAACTCAGACAGGTTGAAGCGTCAGGTGTTGTATTGACATTAGGCTGGTCAATTTTGTATATTATATTGTAATCATGGTATACCTTTTGGACTTTGCCCTCTTCATAATTTATTATAAAAATAAAGTAAGAAAAATGCTTGGACTTCGATCGATAACGATAAAAATTTATATCCTCGGCTTGCAAGCCAACTTTCGACTTTACAAATTAAATTTCGTGACTTAAAATATAAAGATTTATATTATTAAGTCGTTTTATCATGCATTTATTAAAGTGGAAATTAGGAACAAACAGAATATTTGGTCGATTGAAGAAAACGAAAGTACGTTACAAAGATATGTACCAGAATATCATGGACTTGATCATGTTAGTTTAAATGTTTCCATTCCATGTTTTAAGTATCATCTAGGCAGGGCTACCACACCTTGGGAAATTTCCCAAGGTCTTGGGAATTCACGACCCCCCTTGGGATCTGGGGAATAATTTTGAAAATCATGCAAAACCTTGGGAAATCTTAACTGAGGGGAAAATTTTGTTATATTTTTCGAAAAAAACGCAACAATATCTGATAAAAAATAAAGTAAAAATAAAGCAAAATAATTTTTAAAGTAACAAGGCAAAAAATTAATTGTTTTCATTTTCTTTTCTGGTTTTAATTTTTAAATCCACTCATAAAATAAATAAAAACTCTTCTGATTTTAAAGTTAATATTGTGAATTATTAAAAAGTTAATAATTTAAAAAAAAAATTCAATTTTCTCTTTAAAAAAAAAAATTGAAGATTTACAAATTACATCCAGGTTTTGAATGTTTATTAAATGGGGGGGGGGGTAGGCTCGGAAACTTTATCATTATGCTCTTAGACATTAGCAACCATACGAAAAACAGTACAAGCCAAAGAGTGAACGATAGTGTTCAATCAAGAATCCATGCCATAGTAGAATTTTATTATTTCAATTACTTCTACAATGTGTTCAAAATATAATGCATCTGTAAAAAATCCAGCCTAATTTTCATCAATTAGAAAAAATATTTGTGGATTGAAACACGGGTAACTAAGATATTAATAGTATAGGCAGTATAGGCCTACGTTGTAGGATTATAAATGAACAATTCCTTTAAAATTATTTTTTTTTTGGTGAAAAAATCGTTATAATGTAAATTTTACAAGAAAAAATAAAACACTTATTGTTTTCATCGTAATATCAATCCATTTTAACTACAATTATTATTAATAAATTTTGCTTAATTGCTTTGCAAACCCCACTTGTAATCAACAGATTTACAATAATAAAAAATCATTTTTTGATGAAGAAACTTTTGCCTTTGTAAAAGGAATTCTGTGTTGATTAGCCTTGTATGCTTTTTTTTTCCAAGTGACTTCTATTACACATGTATTGTAGATTATATTTTTATCAGAGAATTCGGAGGTAATATTTAGTAGCCTAACTCCAGTGGGTATTGATATTTTGGATTATAAATTATTTTTTTAAAAACAATTTTTTTTTTTTTAATGTGATAAACATGTTTTAAATGTCTTTTTCAATAAATTTCAGTCCATTAATATACCATGTTTTTCAGGGGCATTGATTCAATCTATTATTACATTAATTACATAGAAAACCCCCCTTTAAAAAAAAAAACTCTTATATATTTGTATGATCTTGGGAAATCTTGGGAAATTTGTTCACCAAATCTTGGGAAATTTGAAAAAAGTGAGTGGCAGCCCTGCATCTAGGTCTTTTAACTTTTAACTCTTTTATTATAAAATGGCTGACTCTGAAAATGAGGAGGTGATAATAATACTAACTTAACTGAATACATTTGTTATTATCCACATATTTCATGATTTGATTAAATCATTACTTCATTTGGTATTTTTATTCTAATAGGAAAATAAAAATGAATCCTTCGACTTCGATAATTTTTAATTTACTCCGTAGCCTATATTTAACTTTAAAGTTAAGACTAAGACCAGTGTTAAGTGAGTCTCTTACTTACTCTTACTAACTATCTTACTTATAATACTAATTAGTATAATTTATACTTTATATTATTAGTATATATTATATATACTAGCTTAGATTAGTAGTCTTAATCTTCGAATTCTATCAACAGTATCGGCCTTTACTCCTCAGTGCCTCAATATCAGTTATTGTTCAGTGGTTTCACTGAATTGGAAAGCTTGTCTAAATGTCTTGACAAGACATTCTTGTTGGTCTTGACTAACTACTAACTTGTCTTGAGTGATGTAACTCAAAACTGTTAGTTCTAAGTTATCTAGTCCTAGTAGCTTATTTAAATCATTATTTTATTCTATTATTATTATTATATACAATTTTTTACTAGGCCTAGTGCCTAGTTCAATTTTAAGAAATAAGTTAAAATGCCTTAGACTTAAATTACTTAGATTTAAAATATAAACTATCATCTACAACTATGTACTAAGTGTCCCTAGGCTTGACTTCTTTTACTAAGTAGGCCTATACTACTAATACTAAATTAATACTAGATTCATTGACGTTAGACAAAATTATTAGTAAATAAACACATAATTTGTCATAATAAGGTGTCTCTGAACGCTCCGGACTTTTAACTACTAGCCTGCTACTACACTACATATATTGAGATTTTGTTTCATTATATTGAATAATTTATACTAATTGAGATGACAATTAAATTCTTATAAAAATTTCAAATATGACCAGGCCCAGGCCTATATTTATATTGCATTTAAAGTTTAAAAATTAGATAATAATTTTTATACACCTACTTTTGTTGTTTTTTTGTTCTTTTCTGAACAGAGAACCACTAAATTGTTATTGATAGGATTAATAAGATAAAAGTATTAGGCTATATTTAATACTTGTAATAGCTTTTAGCTTATTCAGCATTTGATCAACCTGTCCAAATAAAATCAGTTATTCTGTTATACATATTTTATTAACTTATTATTACAGACCTCACCTGCTGCCAGCAGCAGAGAATCTAGCCCAATACGTAGCCCCCATAGCCAGCAAAGTGGGAGTCCAGCAGCAAGTAACAGAAGTGAAAGTCCTGTAGGTAGTCAGAGAAGTAGAAGCCCCCAAAGTGGCAGTCCTAGGTCTAGGAGTGGTAGTCCCACAGGAAGTCATAGAAGTGGCAGTCAACCTGCCAGTGATAGAAGTCGTAGTGCAAGCCCAGGTAAATTTCTAACAGTTCAAAATGTTTTTGAAGTATTTCAAAAACATAGGCTTAGTTTACATTGCATTATATCTCCTCGTGTATAGAGAACTTTTAAAAAGTTACTTATATTGAGTAATAAGTGATAAATATTTAGGGAATTGTTCAATGCTTTATTAAATCGATTATACAAATATCTTTCTCACATTAAGTTTGCAATTTTTAAAAATATTATTGATATCATGTAATGATGGAGAACAGGAATAATTTATTTTTATATAGGTTATATTTCAATTTAAAAAGTTATATTCGAAAGTCTTTTACATTAAATTTTCTCATGATTCAATACGAAAAATAAAGTTTATTTTTGAAATTCTGCACACACAAAAATTTAATGCCTACATGTCTGTTTGTTACAGTTGGTAGTGATCGCAGTAGAAGTCGTAGTCCTAAAGGTAGTCCAGCAGGTAGTCAAAGAAGTGGAAGTCCCGTTGAAAGTCACAGGTGTGTAAGTCAATTGAAATGCAATGTAAACCTATGAAAAGCCATCCATACTTAGTGTAACAATATAAATATATCCATATTTAGTGTTTAACAATATAAATAGATTATCATTACTTTTTGTGATAGCATTATTGTTTTAATTTCTAATTTATATAAGATTTACAATTAAAATAAATTTACTAAAAATAAAACACAGAAATTTGCAGCATATAATTTATGGCCACTGACTGATATATCTTATCATTTTTGGAATGCACATTAGGATTTTAACAACAACCTTCTTTTCATTGAACCAAAAGTTCCTTTGAATAATTACAATCTTGCCATTTGAGAGCCAGTCGTGATGTTTTAAGGTTTAGTTCCTTCAAATTGGGGATCTCCAACTGTTCATAGTCATTAGAGACAGAATCTCAATGAACCCTTTTATCTATAAAGGTGGCCATTTTTAAAAAAAATATTCATCAGCTGTTAATGATGCGAGTCTGATTCTTTAAATCACCTTACTTAAATTCCCTACAATAAAAAAAAAAAAAACCCTACAAATTATGATAAATTTCAGGAGTGGAAGTCCGACTGGTAGTAATAGAAGCAGAAGTGCCAGTCCAGCAGGTAGCCACAGAAGTGGAAGTCAAGCAGGTAGCCATCATAGTGCAAGTCCACCAGCTAGTAACAGAAGTGCAAGTCCTGCAGGTAGTCACAGAAGTACTAGCCCAGCAGGTAGCCATAAAAGTGCTAGTCCTGCAGGAAGCCATAAAAGTGCCAGTCCTGTGGGCAGTCCAGGAAGTCCTCGAAGTGGAAGTCCTGTAGGAAGCCATAGGAGTGGGAGCCCTGCAGGTAGCCATCAAAGTGCAAGTCCTGTCGGTAGCCATAAAAGTAGAAGCCCTGCAGGTAGCCACAGAAGTAGAAGTGCAAGTCCGACTGGCAGCCATAAAAGTGCAAGTCCTGGTGGTAGCCATAAAAGTGCAAGTCCAGCAGGTAGCCATAGAAGTGCAAGTCCAGCAGGTAGCCATAAAAGTGCAAGCCCAGCAGGTAGCCATAAAAGTGCAAGCCCAGCAGGTAGCCATAGAAGTAGAAGTCCAACGGGTAGCCATAAAAGTGCAAGTCCAGCTAGTAGCCATAGAAGTGGAAGCCCTGCAGGTAGCCACAGAAGTAGAAGTGGGAGTCCAGCTGGTAGCCATAAAAGTGCAAGTCCTGTAGGTAGCCACAGAAGTAGAAGTGGTAGTCCAACAGGTAGCCACAGAAGCAGAAGTGGAAGTCCAGATGGCAGTCACAAAAGTGGATCAGAGCATAGTAGTAGAGCAGGTAAAACTTCACTTCATCAAATTATTTCTAAGAACCCAAAGGTTAAGATCTTAATCAGACAAATCTTGCTTTAAAAATGTTTTAATAAAAAATATGTAATTCTTCTAAATAAATTATGTACATCTGGAAGTATCTGGCCAAAACCGTATCTCAATTTAAGATGAAGAAAAGAGCAACATGTATTTATAGCTGTCTGAAACAATTTACTTGTGTTTTTCTCAGGGAGCAGAGCAAGCAGTGTTGACAGCCAGTCATCATCAAGTGAGTTGAGTATACAATATTTTATATACAAGTACTCCTCACTTCGTCACCCACCCTTAAAACAACCAGCTCTCTAAATGGTCAACTTTGCTCTTTCTGCAAACAAATAATTAGTATCTGTGACCTAAATGGTCGAATGATGAACTTTGCTCCATCTGAAAACAAATAATTTGTATCTGTGACCTAAATAGTCATATGATGAACTTTGCTCCATCTGAAAACAAATAATTAGTATCTGTGACCTAAATGGTCATATGATGAACTTTGCTCCATCTGAAAACAAATAATTAGTATCTGTGACCTAAATGGTCGAATGATGAACTTTGCTCCATCTGAAAACAAATAATTAGTATCTGTGACCTAAATGATCGAATGATGAACTTTGCTCCTTCTGGAAACAAATAATTTGTATCTGTGACCTAACTGGTGGTATGAGGAACTTTGCTCCATCTGTAAAAAAAATAATTTGTATCTGTGACCTAAATGGTCGTATGAGGAACTTTGCTCCAACTGTAAACAAATATATTGTATCTGCGATCTAAAAGGAAATTTAGTTCCAGCTACATTTTTTACCCCTTGTTTACATTTTCAGAACGAAGAAGAAAGTCAGGTTCTGATTCTGGTTCAGACAGCGATGGACCGAGAAAAAAATCTCGCAGGCAGATTGGCAGTGATGATGATGATGGTGATGGTGAACATGATGGTCTGGATGAGATTGATCAGGCAGAGCGTGATGCATTACTCAAAGAAGGTTCGTCTCTGAAAGCATTACTTTGCTCGTTGAAAAAAAAAAATTGAACTGGTTTGCTAACGTTGAAAGTGTTTTACATTTTTTGAGAACCATTTTATGAAAATATAGGTGATATTTCTAACATTTATTCTAGCGGCTTAAGATAATTAATTTTTTTTTAAAGTGATAATGGTTAGATAGATGGCTGTTAGAGATCATTTTTCATGTGCACTTATAACTATTTAAAATTTCACTTTGGTCAGTTTATTTAAGTCTGTGTTATCTAATTCTCTCCAGTTCTGCTGTAACAATAAAATCTCAGTGTTTGCTGTTTGTTTTGCTCCTACTCTTGCAGCTGATATGGACCTGACTGATTTGAATGCTATGGAGCTGTTTGGTGATGCTGGCGACATTAGTTCTGATGAGGAGGACAAGGAGAGGGGAGGAGCAGAAGATACTGTGAAGAGAAGAGTGAGTCATGCATTTATTACACAATTTAGGGTTGGTCTCAATGCTTGTTTCTCATCACAATATAATTGGCTGGGCTCTTAATTGGTCTCAGTGCTAACATGTGATCACAATATAATTGGCTGGGTTATTAATTGGTCTCATTGCTTAAATCTGATCACAATATAATTGGCTGTGTCCACTTCCTTTTAATTGCTATGTATTTATCTTTAGTGTCTAATTTTATCTCATTTAAATTGCAACCCTGACTGCTTTGTGATATTTGACTGAAGTCCAAGCTGGGACACACTGTATTACAGTTTATTACAGAGTATATACCATATTTAATCTATTTTAAATAAATTCTCCATTTCAACAGGGAGTGATAGATGATGAGGATGAAAACAAAGAGGAAGAACCTCCAGAGAACAGAATAGAAGTGGAAATTCCTCGCATTGTTACAGATCTGGGCTCAGCATTGCATTATGTCAAATTACCCAATTTCCTCAGTGTTGAGACAAGGTAAGGAGCTACATGGTTTTTTTTTTGTTGTATTGGTAAGCTGCTGTTCACAATGAAGACGTGTATTATGACAATTCCTATTGCATTATCACAATCTGAAACTATCTTTTTTTCTTCACCCATTTGATGACAGCTGCTTGAAAAAGACATGTGATTTATGAATACATTTTCTATTACAGATCAAATCAAAATAAAAATGTTTGCTGTATAAAAAAAAATGAGATCACATCATAGTAGATATAAATAAATTGAATGAAAATCACTGCCTATGTAAATATATGTGCATGTCTTTCATTGACATGCAGTTCAAAGGATATCAATTTTATTGAGGATAGGGCTGGCAAACAAAAATTACACAATAAATCTTGTGAGCTTTGGATTTTTCCATCTTAATTATCCTACTGATTATCCCGATGTCCATGTCTGCATCATCAATGCATCTGCATCATGTTTAAAAAACAATTTTTTCAGGATAATATAGCTCGTGATATTTTTTTTAAAATTAATAACTATGTATGCGCTTGTCCTTAGACCTTATGATGCTGAAACATATGAAGATGAGGTGGATGAAGATGAGGTGCTTGATGAAGAAGGTCGAGCCCGTCTTAAACTCAGAGTGGAAAATACATTCAGGTGGCGGAAGAAACTGGACGACGATGGGAATGAGATCAAAGATGAGAATGGCAATGCTCAACGGGAAAGCAATGCTCGCATGGTGAAATGGTCAGACGGAAGGTAAACATGGCACGTCTGGTTTGGCTGGTGAACGTTTCCTGGAAATGCTGTTACTCCCGTGCCCTAATTAAATGATATGTGTTAAAGATATACTTAGCCTTAAAATCAACAACATTAATGTGTGATTCGGCTTGATCTTAACTCATTCCATACGGCTGCGAATGAATCCGTCATTTGGGAGTTCCGAGGGATACGTCCTGGCGCATAGCCACACGACTCTCATTTTTAATTTAAAATATCAGTGAAATATTGCGCCGAGACTTCCAGCGATGGCATCATTCTGCATAATTTCAATTTAAGAAACGAAAGTTTTTATTCTGTTTCACTTTCAATCTGTGTGTGCTTTTTGGTACGGCGCGCCTATATCCAGCATGTGTTCATCCGAGGTCCCAAATATCATTTTTGGTCATTACTTATTATTTTTCACCATTAATGTTGTATTTTTTATTAAACCTGATTCATTCCTGGAGCCATTCAGCCTTGACTCGTTTGCATTAATTAATATTTAACAGCTCACAAAAATATTTTACAAATGCACATCACATGCAAAACAGAGTCACTTTCCTTTAGAAAGAATATAAATTAAGTACGGACGTAGCACTGCCGTCGGGAATGAGCTAAAAGAAATGCTGATCTTCCCTCATTTTTCATGGAATGTCATTACTTGTTAGCATCTTGTTCAATTATCTTACAAACAGTTAATTGGTGAACTCGATAAAAACTTAATGTTAACTAAAACGTAATTTCTAGTTATGGTTGTAAAAATTTATTGTTCTATAAATGCTTAATTAATCTTCTCTCTTATTTCCAGCATGTCCCTCCACTTGGGTGATGAAATCTTTGACGTCTACTCCATGCCTCTTCAGGGTGACTTCAACCACTTGTTTGTGAGGCAAGGCACGGGGCTGCAGGGGCAGTCCATCTTTAAAACAAAGCTTGTCTTCAGGTGGGTCATGTAATAAACCACTTGTTTGTGAGGCAAGGCACGGGGCTGCAGGGGCAGTCCATCTTTAAAACAAAGCTTGTCTTTAGGGGGGTCATGTATTAAACCAGTATGACCAGCTCATAAGATAATCCTTTGTAGCAGGAACTAGGGAAGAAACTTACAAACAAGACATGATTTTAGCTCTCCAACTGAGGATGATAAGTGCATACCTGGTTACTCTTACGATTTTGGCATACAATATACAGTTTTAATATGTCTTTTAAGATTGTACGCTGAGACCTGTCAGCACTACGAATCAACAAGATCGGGTTGACAAAATATAATTCTGTAGTTTTTCAGATTTAACAAATTATTATTTGTTAAATACATTTTCAGTTAATAGTTCTTTTCTAAATCCCGTGGTGAATGGACAGAGAAATATGATAGGTTGTGGACCGTCCATAATTATATAACGTACTCACTGTATGTTTATTTATTTACTTTTACAATGCATTAGTGTTGTAGGATTTTGAGACTACATAGTGCTATTTTAGAAGATTCCAGGGTAACTGGGTCTATAAGCTTTTCATATAACTAGTAAAAGTGGTTCATATCACCAGTAAAAGTGGTTCATATAACTTGTAAAATTGGTTCATATCACCAGTAAAAGTGGTTCATATAACTTGTAAAATTGGTTCATATAACTAGTAAAAGTGGTTCATATAACTAGTAAAAGTGGTTCATATAACTAGTAAAAGTGGTTCATATCACCAGTAAAAGTGGTTCATATAACTAGTAAAAGTGGTTCATATAACTAGTAAAAGTGGTTCATATAACTAGTAAAAGTGGTTCATATAACTAGTAAAAGTGGTTCATATAACTAGTAAAAGTGGTTCATATAACTTGTAAAAGCGATTCAAAAATGGCACTGTAATAATATGTTAAGAAAGCATCCGTCTTAGATAACTCAGGTGTTGGGTAACTGTGGTCCATCATTAGATAAGCCATTTATATTTGTCAATATTTGTTCTGCTTTTCAAAATAATATGTGTGCATTGTGAGGGAGATGTCTCAAATATGTTGTTCTAAGAATAAGCATGCACAGTTTATGCTAAGTAATATATAGGCCTCATTACATGATTTAATCTATACATTTTGTTTTCCCAATATGTGAGCACATTGACACTGTGTCCTGTTTCACACCACGCTCAATGGGAAGTCATTAGTTCATGACCTTTGGTCTAGTGCTCAATCCCATCTAATGACCACTGGTTTTCTGGCTTGTTTAGGCCTCATTCCACAGATTCATTCACTCACCGTAAGATGACCATGTCACTGGCCGATAGGACCACAAAGACACAAAAGGTGAAGATACTGCCCATCACAGGCCTCGACCCAGAGGCCAACAGATCTGACATGCTCAAGGTACGGCCTTTTATTTTCTGTGCTCCTTTTACAATGTGTATTTTATCTTCACTGATAATTTGTATTTTATCTTCACTGATAATGTGTATTTAATCTTCACTGATAACGCGTATCCCACATATTTAAAACTGAAATCTCATTCAAACAGTTTAATCTCCACAATTTTCATCATCACTAGCTGTGTCTAGTTTGGCATCTTGAAAACAAAAAATCATCATATTCCTACATTATGTAACTCTTCAAAACTGATAAACTTTCAAACAGTAATCATGTTTAGATACATGAAGGGTTGTCTTCTCATATCAGTATGTTCACTGCAATCTGTTTTATTTTATAAACCTTAAAAGAAAGAGGAAGAGAGGCTTCGAGCCTCCATTCGCCGGGAAAGCCAGCAAAAGCGAGTCAGAGAAAGGGCTCACACACGAGGCCTGACATCATCCTACTTGGAGGGTCGGGATGAAGATGAGGATGAGGACGATGAATCATTCTCCATCAATGCCATCAAGAACAAGTACAAGCAGAACAAAGATGGCAGTAAGTCTCAGTAACTGCCATAGAATTTAGATCTATTTCCCCAGCAGGGCACTTGTTGTAAATCTTGACTGCTAAAGGGCATAAAGGGCATTTGATCTTTTCTCAAGCCTGCTGAGCCTATTGGGGGGGGGGGTTTATTGACTATTTAATTGAACAAGAAGAAACTTTATTCAATTTATACTACTTTTTTTTTCTCCAGAGAGGGCAAACATTTACTCCAGTGATGAAAGCGAAGAAGAGAGAGATAGCCGTAAGAAGGTCAAGAGAGTTCTCAGTGACGATGTGAGTGACCTTGTGATATTTCCTTGACCAGCTTAATCAACAGTTATTAACTATTCTCAGGGAACTTGTGTATCGATAGCAAAGAACTGTTGACTTTTTGTTGTTGTTGATCAGCACATACCTATTGAGAAGAGCTCATCTGTTTAGAAGGTAAAATGTTGTTGATCGGCACATATGTATTGAGAAGAGCTCATCTGTTTAGAAGGTATAATGTTGTTGATCGGCACATATGTATTGAGAAGAGCTCATCTGTTTAGAAGGTATAATGTTGTTTATCGGCACATATGTATTGAGAAGAGCTCATCTGTTTAGAAGGTATAATGTTGTTTATCGGCACATATGTATTGAGAAGAGCTCATCTGTTTAGAAGGTACAATGCAACTATTATTGGGGTTTTTTTAAAAGATTTCCTCACACCACCTTTGGTTGTCCATGTGACAAGCCCAATAAGTATACCCCAAAAAAGACTGTTCAAAAAGCTCCCATGCAGCAATGGTCACTCATGAAATGACCAATAATGAAAAAGTAAGGTATTCCATCAGAAATAGCCTCTAACAATCTGATGCTCACACAGAAAAAGGAAATATTCACATTGAAAAAAATTAATGAAAGAAAAAGAAAAAGTTCTGTCTACATTACAAAATAATGTTGAAAATGTTATTTATGTTACATTTCAATGTACATCCTGTTCCAAGCTGAGTTCACACCATGCTCTTTATTAGTGATAAACTCCAGTTGGGATTAACTCCATTAGTGATTAACTCCATTTGTGATTAACTTCATTAGTGATGAACTTCATTAGTGATGAACTTCATTAGTGATAAACTTCAGTAGTGATTAACTTCATTTGTAATTAACTCCAGTAGTGATTAACTTCATCAGTGATGAGCTTGTTACTTGATGTTATTATTAATGGGAAATCCCATTCAATGAAAGCTTGTTACTTGATGTTATTATTAATGGGAAATCCCATTCAATGAAAGCTTGTTACTTGATGTTATTATTAATGGGAAATCCCATTCAATGAAAGCTTGTTACTTGATGTTATTATTAATGGGAAATCCCATTCAATGAAAGCTTGTTACTTGATGTTATTATTAATGGGAACTCCCATTCAATGAAAGCTTGTTCCTGTGTAGAGTTTTGTTGCTGGCTTTTGTTGAGAAGCTTTTAATGCCGTTAATGCTGATTGATGAATTCTGAGTTCAATATGAAATATGGTAACATCCCCTTGTGTTGTTTGTCTCTGTGCTTGCAGGAGTCGGAGGACGGTGAAGATTTGTCATCTAAAAAGAGGAAACCAAAAGCGCTGGAGAGTGACAGTGAAGCTGAGGAGGCTCCTGATGTGGAAAAGAGTGGAGGAGGAGGGGACAGTGGGGGTGAGGGTGCCGGGGGTGGTGGTGGGGGTGTTGGTAGTGGCAGTGAATGAAATGTGCGGTTGGTTGGTTGTTAAATTTGATGGTTTGCTATTTGCGTACTTGATAGTTTTGTTGATTGCTCATGTAGGATGGGTCGCTGGTTGAGGTGGATAGGATGGTTGGTCGGTTGGTTGTTTGGATGGTATGATTGGTTGTTTGGGGTTGATTTGCTAATTTGTTGGATGGGATGGTTGAACATGAAGTACAAGAGATCATAGACACATCTGTCTACAGATCATAAACACATCTGTCCAGAGATTATAAACACATCTGTCTACAGGACATTAAATATGTTTGGGGCTGCAGTAGCTTACAGAACATACTGTAGATTTTTGTGGAGAAAATGGGGTCTGTTTGATAAAGGTTGTTGTAGGTCCATTGAACAATGGGGTCTGTTTGATAAAGGTTAATTGAACTGACATTGCGGACAATGAAATGCCATGTACATGCCTGTATTGTGAGGGAAGATTTCAATGATGACGATAGTGACATTGAATATTACCAAACAGTCCACAATTGTATAGTTTTAAAATGAATGTTTGTATACAAACACATACATTGCTGGTGTGTAGTCAGATGTGTGAGGACTCAGTGTGTTTGTGGTTTGACTCGAGGTTGTCATTAGGATGGTATCTAGGTTGAGGACCATTGCTGTGGTTCTTGTACCAACACAGCTTTATAATGGTTCTACTGTTCTATGTTCTAAGTTGATGACCTGATGTTGCTGTGACTGTACTCCTTGTACCAACACAGTGTGAGGACCTCTATCTTTTATTATGTCATGTAAGAGCTCTGCTCCTTGAAGTTGTTGATAATGTTAATAATAAAAAAATTCAAATTGCTTTATTTTATTGTTTTAATTTCTTGTTTTTAATTATTATTTTTGTTGTGCCTTGGTGCCTTAGTCTGTTATTGCAAGGGTTCTCAAAAAACTAGCATGGCTCAAACGGTTGCTCGAATGTGGAGTGCTGACATTACATGAACATGTCACTAATGTACAAAGTGCTCCTTCACATTGAACTAAATCTTCAAGGCACCTAGGAAGCAGCTGGGTCTTTTTCCCATGGCTGTAAAAATTGAAAATATCATAATTTTCACAAAATATGTCTCGTATTTGGGTTGTGTGAAAGGCATTCAAATTGATTAATTTATCACATCTATTGGTTTTGTACCTTTCAAAATACCTCATGAAATCAGACTGGCGTCCCTTCACCAGCCCAAGGGCCACAACACATGCACCTACAAGCGTCATTATCTAGAGTTGCCCGTCTTTTAGACATCTTGCTATGATAGCCATTGCTTGTACTTGGGTAGTTTCGCCTATTCGTGCTCATTTCTCATGGGTTAGCCTTCGCTCTAGCCTTGTGAAGTAGTTTCGGAGTATCTGGGGCAGATCTAGTCTTACTCTGGCCCTTGAGCTCTAAGACCCCCGTTATAATAAGATGGAACGAACTCTCGAAACCTCACAATCCGTCTCCCGACACACACACACACACACAGGCAGGCCATGAATAATGGACCCGGTAGGCCTGAAAGCGTTGCCAGGTGGCGACAATCTCGTGCAGTTGACCTGGCCACACGAGGAATCAACTCGACGCCTGGCCTAGCCAACCAAGGACTGGCGGGTGGTCATGCAATAATCATGAGATGCCCGGTCGGGAGATGCTGGAAGACGATACACCTGAGACGGGTGTTCAAACTCACTCAAAACCCCCCCCCCCCCCCCCCCCCCCCCCTTCCTTCTCTTTCACATGACCCTTGACCCTGAATCAAGAAGGTTCAATGAAACTTTCCAAGATGTTTGAGTTGCCTACATTTTCGCTTAGTGTCCCCTTGACAGTTTTTATGATGGTGCCCTACCATACCAGATACTACCTACCATCTAAGTGCTATTTCTTATTTTTATTTTATACCGTTTTTTTCTGTTGTTTTGTTCGCTGACGAAGGCTTTCTGCCGACACGTTCGCTGTTTTGTTGCGTTTATTTTTTCAGGTTTAACCCTACTCTGTTTTACTCATTTGATTATGATAGTGCCCCCTTGCCAGTTTTTATGAACTAGGCAAACTTATTGGTTAACAAAAAAAATTAAATTCAATCTCAACAACGCCATACATCTTTAGACTCAATGATCCCCCCCCTCCCCGCCCACACACACACCACATAAACACTAATTCCCTCGATGTCATAACGCCACCCCCACCCACCCCACCCACTAATATAAACAGATGAATGAGACGCCAACAAGTTGTGGAGATAAAATAATATAGGTTCAGCTTTAATCATGATTACACTGAAGACAAATGGAAACGTTTAATCATGATTACACTGAAGACAAATGGAAACGTTTCGGAAAATACCTTCATTGGTACAAAAACAAAAAAATTAATTTAAAAAAAAAACAAACATTGATTCATATAGTCTAAGTATAAATAAAATGGACATAATATATATATATATATATATGTATATATGTATATATGTGTGTATATGTATCCTACCTAAAAATGAAAGAAAGGAATAAGAGTGGGCGCAAGTTCCTGAAGTTCAGAGTAAAGGAAGTGGCTGAAAATAGAATTTAAAAACCAAAGAGGAAAAAAAACAACATTGCAGCTATGTAAAATTGCGAATATATGCACAATCATTGACTGAGTCAATCTACCACAACAGCTCTTCAGCGCCCTGCCTACACACAATCATTGACTGAGTCAACGGCCTACACACAATCATTGACTGAGTCAATCTACCACAACAGCTCTTCAGCGCCCTGCCTACACACAATCATTGACTGAGTCAACGGCCTACACACAATCATTGACTGAGTCAATCTAACACAACAGCCCTTCAACGCTCTGCCCCACCAACAATAACACAATTTTTCAGTTGTTATTTGTTAGTAATTTCTATCTCTTGATCACCGTTTCAATGTTTAGGTCTAAATTTTACCTACTCATTTGCACCATTACAGCACCTACACCACTACAGCACCTACACCACCACAGCACATACACCACTACAGCACCTACACCACCACAGCACCTACACCACCACAGCACCTACACCACCACAGCACCTACACCACCACAGCACCTACACCACCACAGCACCTACACCACCACAGCACCTACACCACCACAGCACCTACACCACCACAGCACCTACACCACCACAGCACCTACACCACCACAGCACCTACACCACCACAGCACCTACACCACCACAGCACCTACACCACCACAGCACCTACACCACCACATCACCTACACAACCACAGCACCTACAGCGCCACAGCACCTACACCACTACAGCCCCTCCCTAGGAAGTACTTGTATTCATTTGGTCACACGTGTGAAAGAAACATCTGAATGCTTAAGGGACCTATCTGACATCTGCTCACGACCAATCGTTAGCAGTGTTTGTTTGCAGGGGTTAAGCTGGACACGCCCTTTCCAACAGTGTTTTCTTGGCTGCTTCATAGTTCTATTGATCAAAGGGGGGCCAAATATGCAAAGGCCCCGTCTTGGTTAACTCTTATAGTAATCAAAGATTGGCCCTTCTTGGTTAGCTTTTATAGTGATCAAAGATTGCCCCGTCTTGGTTAATTTTTAGTGATCAAAGATTTCCACATCTTGGTTAACTTCTATAGTGATCAAAGATTGCCTCGTCTTGGTTAACTTTTATAGTGATTAAAGATTGCTTCCATCATGGTTAACTTTTATGGTTATCAAAGATTGTCCCAATCTTGGGTAACTTTTATAATCATCAAAGATGCCCCATCTTGTTTAACTTTTATAATGATCAAAGATAGTCAAATTACGTACTTCACAACATCTTTGTTCCCCTTGTAAATTGATCAAAGATAAGTCAAATGTTCAGTGCCACATCGTAAAAAGGGTTGGGGTGGGGGGTGTGGGGGGGGGCTATAACCCGACAATCCACCTGGTTGCAGAGGCTTCGTTTGAATTAGTGACTCCCCTGACGCCCCATGCGTCAACACCCCACCCCCCTCACAGTTGTTAAACGTATCATATCTGTCATGGATAATCTATTTGTCTGACGTTGTAAGTCGTTATTTAACGGTTATCTTTGACATTCGCTACACCCTTCCCTCTAGTCAGACGACAGCCACGACCCCCCAGACCATTCCCTCTAGTCAGACGACAGCCACGACCCCCCAGACCATTCCCTCTAGTCAGACGACAGCCACGACCCCCAGACCATTCCCTCTAGTCAGACGACAGCCACGACCCCCCAGACCATTCCCTCTAGTCAGACGACAGCCACGACCCCCCAGACC